TCTAATCAACTACAGGTCTGTCTATTGACAGTAAAATATTTTCTACTATATAAAAATTTATGTTTGTTCGTACTTTCTACGATGCCATACCGTTCATCAGATGGCGGTAAAACTTAGTCAACTTAATGGTTGCACTTGTGAGAAGGTTATACTTATACGCATGGTACAATTAACTGACACTAGGTGGCGTGCGTATTATACTGACTATTTATTTGAAAGTGATAGAAAGTTATATATCATTCTATTTCAATGATTGTATTATCATTCCTAATTATACAATATAACTGTTCCACATTTTAACGATATTTCCACAATTATTTCTTCTGCGGCAGCAATGCGCCGGGTATGAGCTAGCAAGATTATATAAAAAATATAAACTTTGAATTACATAGTTATCAGTTATTTACGTCATTTTCGAAATTAAAATTACAATATTAAAAAAAAATAACTGAAATTATCAATTACCGAGCCCGATATGTGAATGGAGCCAGGGAAAAACGAGCACTTGGAAGCATCAAGTGGTGCAGCCAGCCAGTCGCGAAAAACAGTCGAGTGGCGCATCGCCAATCGCCATAACAACACTCCTCTTCCAGCAGTACAGGGAGAGGAATCTCCTCTAGCCGCAGCCCACTAACACACATCCAACGTGACTCGACATCATCAGGCGACCTTTCGACACTTGGCTATGGCCCTTGAGTTTGGTGGAAAATGAGGAAAGAATAAAAAGTCATTCGAAATAATAATCTAATACTTGGTAGTTGGTAGTGCTTGGTACTGGTACTACCAGAAAATATTGTCGGTATACTGCACTTTTTCAAAGTGGTGCAGTTCTCATGTCTAATAAAACAGTCGTCTGTGAAATGTTTGGAACAAATATGATCATTTTGTTTCGGACGCCAATTCACAATATTTATGATTTTAAGCCATAATTTTAGTCTAGGTTCAGTTGGGAACCTGTTAATTAATAAACATTTGATAATCATCAGTTGTTGGTTACTTTGTTTGTTAACAGATATGGGTAGGAAAGAACATCGATAAGTATTATAGACAAGGAACTCGACAACCCTATTGAATTTTATTGTTTATCAAAACTCAGTAATATACAGCTAAACATGTTGGTATATATGATATTAAGATTAGTAACAATTTTCTAAGTACTTCTATTATCAAATAGTTTTAATTTGTTTAATATTTACTGCAAATTCACTTACTTGTGAAATTTTATACCACTTCCCTTTTGGTAACCAGTTTTACAGATTACGCACCCTCTCATTATTAATGAAAATAATTCTTATTATGTAATTATTATTAAATATTAATATTAATCAAACAACATAAAGTACTTTCGTTTAAAAGTTCAAAATACAGACTTATTAAATATGACAATATGAATAAGACAACATACTTTGGCATATTATGTCAATTTTATTTTTCAAGACATCCTTTAGCGGCGCTTCAAATTGGCACAGTCATTTTGTATGGTATAGCCAGTCCAGGGTACTTGTATATATAGAGGTCAGTGGAGTACAAGTAGATGAAGTTAGTTGAATACCATGTACAAATTTTCTCCGCGGCATTGGAGGGAAAATTTTCATGCTCCGTAATTTTGTAATTTTTGACAAAAAGAAACATTAAAAAATGGAGAAATATTTTATTGTGCGTGGATGTGCAAGTGGTTTAGCATCTGATCGGAAAAATAGACTGACAATGACTTTTATTGACCGAACTTAGCAATCGCAGCGCCTCTCTTATGGTGTCCATATTTCTGGGACATTATTTTCTACGGCGATCGTTCTCCTGTTCTCTAACCTTCATCTATGACTACAGATTAAGCCATGACAAATGACGTTCCGGTGTACGTAATTGAACAAAACGTTTAGCTTACTATGACCTACAGCATTATTTTTATACAAGAATCGATTACATAATAGATCAGCATAGTAGTTTATTTAATGTCTACATACTGATTGAATTTAATTTAAATTAACAACTAAAGTAACTAAACCAAGTCCTTTCATACACGAAATCTATAATATAAATATATGATTTTTACTGACAGCTGTCGCAGAGATCAAGCTATCTTTAATGAACCATAATCGTCATTAGGTGCGTTCTGAAACTATTATTTGAAATAATTTTGAAACAGTTACAAAAAAATAAAAATAAACGGATAACATTTTTTGTGGCTACTGAGAGAGGTATTTCTGTGTTTTTAAGACCTTAAAACAATAAGGGTATTTTTCATAAATATGGCATATTGGGACATCATGGTTTCGTCGCCTGGTACGATTTGGCCAACCTTCTTTGTACAATAGTATAGGTTTCTTGCTTGTTTAAGTCATTGATTGCAGTAAATATATTAGATTGAAGTACATAATGTAATTGGTTAAAAAATAATCTGTCCAAACTAGTCTTACCATAACTGATCATTGTTCGAAATTTACACTAATTTATGTTGTTGTCTAAATGGATAACATACTAAATATAAAAAAAATCGCCATTTTTATTATATGGTCAGCGGTGGACTTTTGATAAGCTTTAATGAAAATGGTTTAAATGTAACATGGTGATGGTGAGAAAACTGTTCTTAATTAGAGCATATCAATTTTGCTAGTGTTGCCCAAATACAAGAACAAGACGAGACTTAGCCAGTCTTGGTCTTGGTCTTGCGCCAATACACCTGGTCTTGTTCTTGGTTTTGGTATTGCGCTCTCAGTCTTGTTCTTGGTCTTGGTCTTGCAACAAGAGTCTCGCAAGTCTCGCAATTACCTATTAGCCTATTGTTATTTATTAAACGTTACTTTAGATCTTAGAACAACTTAACAGAGTAGGCACATTTTGAGCTTGAATTAACATAGCCATAGAAAGACCAACCAAATTAATAAATGTCTAAACATTTAATGATAAATTCGAAAAATCAACTAATACCGGGTGGGGTTTGAACCCACGACCTAAGCGATCCGTGCCGATGCTCTAACCAACTGAGCTGTCTACCAAGTCTCACGGCCACGGGAGTTAGTCTGTTTCTTAATAAACGTTTACATTTAATAAGCTTACATGTGCTAAAACTTAGTCAAAACATATAAAAAACAAATTAATGATATTAACTTGACTGTATTATAAAGAACATTATCTGTCTAGAAAGAGATTGATAGACCCTTATATGAAATGGAATAAAAGAGTTATACAATTTACCATTTATTTAAATAAAAAAATAAAATACAATACAAATTAAATTACATAATTTATTATAGATACACATAATTATAGAACTATTGTAAAAATATTTTAAAATTGTAAAGCGATAAGTCAAACATAAAATGTCAAATGTATATGTAGATACCAAATCGGTTTAGAAATTTCTAGTTAGTCCTGTGTCAGTTCCAAGCATTTTTGTCTGACTTAAATTGAAAGGGTGAAAGATCTAACATTTCTTTTGGAATCTTATTATAAAAGCGTATATCGCTACCCAAGAACGCATTATATACTTTGTGTAACCGGAAAGCAGGTATTGTGATTTTATTTTTATTTCTACTATTAAAATTGTGCAAATCACTATTATTTACATCAATACGATGCAATCAATTTCTTTAAACGGTTCTCTAAGAGATACTCAGGCTCCTAAAAAGTACATAAATCTTATTTTACGCTTTTTATTTAATATGGATACCTACTTTTTATATTATTCGATTAGCATTGTACAAAATGTTTACACGTTTCAAGTGTGTTAAAAGTGTCTACAATATTTATCAAATGGGTGACGACATATTCGAACACTTTGTGTTCAAAAACACACACTTCCAAAAATCGAGATTTGCAGTGAACTTATTGCTCATGTTTATCTATTAGGTAATAATAATAATAGTAAGTAATTATTACAAACCCATATAGTTAATATTATAATAATTACTTACTAGAATAAATTATTACGGTATGTACCTATCCTTACCATTATCTAATTACAATATTCCTTGCGAGATCAGCATAATGTATTCGTGTCCATTCTGAGCACCCGGAAACTTATTTTATTCTTTGGAACATGTGCTCTGTGGCGGCATTCAAACAGTGTCAAATGTAGTGCGTGCGGCGCGGCGGCGAAGATTGAATGCGATATTAATAGAAGCCGCCGGCGCGTGTATCTTGACCTTGTACTTCCGAATAGCTGCAAAATTTCTTTGACAGGTCCGTATTCGACCTTTGATGATGCCGACAACAAGACGCCGCGCACTATCAAAGTGCCGATGGTCAAAACTAGGGATGCAGTGTTTTTTACTTTTAATGGATATTTTCATCCGCTATGTATGTTTATGGTATTGTTCTAATGCGCATAAGTCCAATTTTCCAATTTTTTTATATATATTTTTTGCGTCTCATAGAGTCCCTAAGCGTATACCCGAACTCCTATACTCCCTGAAACGACACTCATTCCTAACTGCAAGACGCAAGAGTCTCGCAGGCTTAGTCTTTTCCTTGCTCAAATCTTGCACGGTCAGTCTTGGTCTTGGTCTTGCTAAAATTAGGCGGTCTTGTTCTTGGTCTTGGTCTTGCAAAAATGCAAGAACAAGACCAAGATGCAAGACCAAGGCCGATTTTGGGCAACACTAAATTTTGCATTGACAGATTCTTTATTATTTTAATGAGGGAGTGAAATGGAAAGTAAACTTGTGCTGAACTGAATCCATTAGTATATATAAACATGTGTAAGAATGTCTATTATCGTATATTGTAAGAGGTGACAGGGGGAAACTGATCTAGGGAATGGGCTGCAGCATTTTCCTGATAAATATCAGTACTCGAAATCATAAAAAGCTGCAGTTGCTAACCTGTCTACCAAGCATTGTAACTATGACAAAATCACCCTTTATCCTCATAAAGTCAACTGCTGAACAAAGGCCTCCCTTTGTTCAGCAGTTAACTTTTGATGATGTATGGATAGATATAAACATTTTGTAAATGATACTGTTTGTATATTTAGTTTAGTAAATTTTGGTTATTTTCAGCTCACAAGATGACCCCTTCTTTATAACAGCAGCTATCGTAAGTGGACCTCATACTGATATAGTATCGAAGGATTTACTCCGCGGTCATAAATTTTTATTAAAAGATCAAAAGCTACAGATACTTTTCCAGAAGTGGCAATGGCAACATCAGTGGAAAGTTTTCCTCGCAGGCAGACGTCCTATCATACAGGTATAATTTTACATTTCCAGTTACATATTGAAAACGAAAATTGCTTAAGTTTTAAAAGGACTAGAAAGAGTGTTGCTTGCTTTGTATAATCCCGCAATTCTGATGAAAAATGTTCAGTAGTGTAACAATTTTAGTAAGTTGCAAAGGGTTGACTTCAACAGAGATATAGAACGAAAATCCCTGAGATACTAATAATTTTTGCAAACATCATTGCCATTCTGTAGTTGTTTATTTTGCGAATGTAATATAGCTCCATGTTTATTATGAAATCATACTCTGTGAACAAATCCATAAACCAATTTCAATGAAGAATCAGGGTGTTTTCATTCTCAGTAATTGAATACTCATTGCTTACTATAAATAAAAATATTGTAAAAAGTGTCGTAATATGTTTCACAATTTTTTTTATAACTTGAAGAATAGACAATCAATAGGGATAAAAGGTTCATGAGTTGCAGCCTCGTATTAGTAAACGTAGTGTAGGGTGGCTCCCCACTAGATGGAGTGACAACCTGGTAAGACATGCGCAGGAAGTGAATCGATGGAGGTGGCTCAGGCGGTGGAGGCGTATATTCAGAAGTTGACTTATGAAGGGTTTTAATGATGAATTCTTTGAATAAGACGAGCGATACATCATATAAAATGGTGGTAAATAGCTTCTTGCATGTAACAGAACTTATTTGAAAACTAAAAAATGAACGCCACGCGTTTATTTTCAAAAGTATCGATGTATCGTAAATGATTATCATGTATAGTATCGGTATCGATGTCATAATTTTACGGGATGGGTTAAATAAGTCTTTTTGCGCGCCACAGTTGATGTCTGGTAAATGGTACTAGCGCCATCTATTAACAAATAGAAGAACTAAGCTTTCTAGAAAACTCCACACTCGAATTTTCTACACCTAGAATTCATGAAAATTACAGTACAAATTAGAAATGTATCCTTAACGAAGTTCAAATCTCTATAGTTTTCAAATGGAAAAGCGTAATAATTGAAACATAATATAACATGCATCGATGCAAAATGGCTGATGTATTATTAACGTTTATTAATTAAGGAAACGTCATCAGAATACCACGCTTGGTCACTAAGGCGGGGGATAGGCCTTAGGTTTTCGTCACGTGGTCAATTACCCCTAAGGAAATCTAACGGTTTTTCGAGCTATAATCATATATGGCGCGCAGCGTTTAGCGTATTTTAAACTCATGGGTTACACTTACTGATACTGACACACATGTGCCGGGACTACAGCTTATTGAAAACTGACAGTTTGCAGTACAGTGCAGTTGACAAGTATGAACCAAATTAATTCTTTTTACTTTCTGTTTGCGAAAAAATGATTTAAAACCATAGTTACGAATTACTACGTTAAACTAGAGGGGGATTGGAGGATTTTGGCATATACTAAGAATGGCCACTGGAGGGGGGTAAAAATTGGTCAAATAGCACAGGTATATTCCCTATATGATTCTAGCCTATATTAATAAAACAGTATGCATCTATACTGTTCAATCTGTTTAACCTTTTGTGTGTTAAAAACTACTGGCACATTTCATAGATAAATTTCGGGTGATACTGATTACTCTATGTACTAAAAACATTGTGAATATAATATTCTTTTTGCTGCTTATTAGGCACATTTGAATAAAAATTTAGGAAAGCAATATAAATTTAAGAATTATATTTTCGTAAATAACAATGATAAATAAACGCAACAACATTGTAGAGTGGTGAATTATTTTTAGTATATTTGGTTATATCAGTAATTATTATGACTCGTTATTTGTTAACTTGATGTTTATTGAAGTGAGACCCAAATTAAAGCAGTATTTTCGTTTAAGCTATAAAAGCCAACTGGCTGGCTGCATTTAGCCTGAACATCACAGAAAATAGACACTAGAGCAGTATTGTAGTTTGTCATATATCAAGACGTTAATCTGCTTAAATACTAAATGACTAATATTGAATTTATTCTCATTTGTTCAACCCTAGTCTATAATATTATAAACTATCATTATAATACGCCGGGGAAAAGTTTCTTCTTATTTTGTTTGTATAAAATTGAAGAAAATCTCTGGCGAACGCTACACGCGTAATATCACGATTTGGGTTGTCACGGATAAAGGCGATGCCATTTTCGAAAAAGTGGAGCAAGATCGGCATATTAGTAGATATGACATAGCCGAGGATTGACCACAAAACAGTTTTGACCCATTTGAAAAAGTCTGGCTATAGAAAAAAACTTGATATTTGGGTCACACATGAACTCACGCAAAGAAACCTAATGAATCATGTACTCACTTGCGATTATCTATTGATACGTTATGAAACTGAACCAGTTTTGAAAAGATTGGTGATAAAAAGTGGATCACCTACTACAAGAACGTGCGAAAATGATCGTGGTCAAAGGGTAGTCGAGCTCCACAGACTAGCGAGAACCGGAACACCCAATAAGGTGATGCTGTGTGTATGGTGGGATTGGAAGGGCATCATTATGAGCTTTTACCGTCGGACAAAGCCATCGCTTCGGATTTCTATTGCCAATAACAATTGATCAACAGAAAAGTAGTGGTTTTTTATCAGGATATATATATATATATATATATATATATATATATATATATATATATATCTATCTGTCAAAACCACTTGTCGCATTTTTTTAATCAAAAATATCAAGATTTCTACGACAACGGTATTATGTCACTACCTACAAAATGGCACATATATAATTAAATGTAATTTAACTTAAAAAAAATGTCATGAATTTGTATATAAAGTATGAAGAAACATTTCCCCTGACCTATTTATAAAATTCTTTTGTTCGGAATTCTCCTGCTAAACGGCTTCATCGATATAAATTAAAATTTAAAGGGTACTTATGAGGCCATCTGGATGGTTCTTAGCTATAGTTGGACCCGGTAGGTGGCGTTGTTGTAGAGATCCAGGAATCAACCGTACTAACCCGGGGCGGATCGCTAGTTTCATTAACAGTTGTTACGTCTTCTCCTTCGCCAGCCTTTTAAGATCCACTGTATATTAATGGCCTTTACAATGATGCGTTAATTGGTAGCTAGCTGCGCGGAGGCAATAGGGTTAGCATGGATGATATCATTGCGGGACTTTATCTTGGGTTGATTTGCTTTTGGAATATATAGCCTCATGCTCATGTCACTCATCTGATCCTTGTTGGTAATATGCTTTCTGCACCGCCTGCAGGTATGGAGAATAAGAAAAATAATTTAAGTAACATTTGGAGAATTTTATACAGAAATAAGGGGATATACATGAATAAAATTTTCTTAACACTAAATTAATTGTTAAGTGAATCTAAAAATATAATATTACAGAATGCCTAAGTTTATTAATTTATTACTAATTTTTTTAATTTATTGTCATAAATACTATGGTCACTGCATGTGCTAGGGATTGTCAATAAAATAGATATTAAATAATGTTGGATATTATATAATACTCATTGTCATTTATTACATTATGTACATACTTATAAGTTAAAATCATTTATCTAACAAGATCATTTTTATTACTACAAGGTAAAATCATTTACAAGTGTTGCACTGCCAAATATTTTCGTGACACTTATTTTTATAAATTTTTTCAGTTTTCGATCGTTAAATTTAATTTTGTAGTGTAAAAATTAGAGAAGCATAAGCATTGCCGTCATTTGAATACAATTTTACTTAGTAACTCATATAACTATAATAGTAATTCGCCATTATATATATACTAGGCTGCACTAAAAGTATCGGGAATGGAATATTTCCACTGTTCCTGTCATATTAAAATCTTTTTAATTGAAAAATCCTTGGTTTTAAAAATCGAATACCATTTATTTATTTCAAAAAAGATTCTCGGTCTTGTCACAAGGTTTTGTCAAACTTGTTTAGTCGTTGAGAAAATGGAATTGACTCGAGAAAATTCAAGAGCGATGATTTATTATGACTTTCGAAGTGGTTTAACACAAAAATAGTGTGTTGACCGGATGATTTCTGCATTTGGAGATAAAGCCCCATTCAAAACCAGAATTTATCGCTGGTTTGCTGAATTTCAACGTGGACGTGTCAAGCTCAGTGATGATCCCCGTCAAGGTCGTCCAAAAACTGCTGTCACCCAAGAAAACGTTGATGCTGTGCGTAAGCTGATTGAGGAAGATCGACATGTGACATACCGCGAAATTCAGGCAACTTTAGAATTAGCATGAGTCAAATACAAATAATCTTGCATGAACAATTAGGTGTAAAAAAGTTGTTTTCCCGATGGATACCGCATTCGCTCTGTGAAGCGCAAAAAGCGGCTCGCGTTACTTGGTGCATCAGACCTCGCGAAAGATTCCACGCAGGATCCTCTAATGCTGTATACAACATCGTATCAGGTGACAAATCCTGGATATACACGTACGAACCCGAAACAAAATACCAGTTACGAGTTTGGGTGTTCGAAAATGAGTTAAAGTCAACAAAAATTGTTCGGTCACAAGTGTTGCAAAAAAAAAATGGTGGCCACGTGTCTCCAAAACCGGCCATGTTACGACTATTCCTCTTGAGGGACAAAGAACGGCTAATACAGAATGGTATGGTAGCATTTGTTTGCCACAGCTCGTTTCTGAACTCCGTAAAGAGAACTGCAACCGCCGCATCATCCTCCGTCACGACAATGCGAGTTCTCACACCGCACACAGAACAAAAGAGTTTTTAGAGCAAGAAAACATAGAATTATTAGTAGACCATCCGCCGTACAGCCCCGACTTAAGCCCTAATGATTTCTATACCTTCCCTAAAATAAAGAATAAATTGCGTGGACAGATATTTTCATCACCTGAAGAAGCTGTGGACGCCTACCAAACGGCCATTTTGGAGACCCCAACTTCCGAATGGAATGGTTGCTTCAATGATTGGTTCCATCGTATGGAAAAATGTGTCAAATTTCGCGGAGAATACTTCGAAAAGCAATAAATACATTTTTAAATAGTAATGTT